TGCCTCTCCCCGCTCCTGGGGGCTCTAGGAGTCCCTGGGCTTGTGGCCGCTTCACTGCATCTCTGCCTCTGTCCCCATGTGGCCTTCTCCTCTGTGTGTGTGCCTCCTCTTCAGTCTCTTACGATGATACCTGTCATTGGATTTGGACCTACCCTATTCTAGGATGATGTCATCTGAAGCTCCTCGAGTTAATTCTATCTGCAAAGACCCTATTTCCCAATAAGGTCCCATTCACAGGCTGGTGGGGCAGGATCACAGATGGAACTTTCTGGAGACCTCTCCTTCCACCCACTCCACTGAATTTCGTTAAGGTCAGGAAGTGATTTGGAATCTACAAGAGAATTATTTTTGCTCATTGGCATTTCTGATCATCAGTGAGGGTATCATTTGAAAGCTCCATTTTGTAAGGTATTTCCATTGCTAGAATACCTGAATTGGAGTATCTAAGTCAAAAGAAGCTAAATAGAAAACATGACTTTGAGCCAATATGAGTCTCTGCCCTGGTCAGTATGAGAAAATCTCAGAAGTACAACTTGTGCCTCGGACATGTAGGTGTGTAGTATACACTTACTGGTGGATGATGTGGTTTGGCTTTGTGTCCCCACCCAAATCTCATGTTTAAATGTAGTCCCCAGTGTTGGAGGCGGGACCTGGTGAGAGGTGGTTGGATCATGGGAGTGGTTTCTGATGGTTTAGCAACATTGCCCTAGTACTGTCTCGTGAGAGTTCTCAGGAGATCTGATGGTTTTAAAGTGTAGTACTTCCTCCTTTGCTCGCTGTCACTTATCTGCCACCAGGTAAATGTGCCCTGCTTCCCCTTCGCCTTCCGCCATGATTTGTAAGTTTCCTCAGGCCTCCCCAGCCATGCGGGACTGAGAGTCAATTAAATCTCTTTTTCTTTCTTTCATTTTTCTTCTTCTTCTTCTTTTTTTTTTTTTTTTTTTTGAGCCGGAGTCTCGCTCTGTCACCCAGGCTAGCGTACAGTGGCACTATCTCGGCTCTCTGCGAGCTCTTCCTCCTGGGTTCACGCCATTCTCCTGCCTCAGCCTCCTGAGTAGCTGGGACTACAAGCGCCCGCTGCCTCGCCCAGCTAATTTTTTGTATTTTTAGTAGAGACGGGGTTTCACCATGTTAGCCAGGATGGTCTCGATCTCCTTGACCTCGTGATCTGCCTGCCTTGGCTTCCCAAAGTGCTGGGATTACAGGTATGAGCCACTGTGCCTGGCCTAAATCTCTTTTCTTTATAAATTACCCAGTCTCAGGTAGTTCTTTATAGCAGACTGCAAATGGACTAATACAGTTGACTTCTAGGTGTTCTTGGATTTATCTTGGTCTTTGCAGTTTTAAGTATATATGTTTTTTAGTTTATTTCACATATTTCTAAAATTTCTAGATATTACTAAAGTCTGTTGGTTTCTGCAGCAGGACTGCAATCTTTTTACTACAGTCAACAAAGCATAGCATGACAATCTTGTTTTCACACCCGCACCGCTATTTTCAAGGCTGTATTTGCATGTATTTCTGTCTTTTTCCTGGTCTTCAGGGGTCAAGAAATGGTTTTCTTGGGGCAAAGAGCTTTGGTCAGCTTTGCAGACCACCCAGTCTCAGTTACAAATACAGACTCTGCTCCTGCACCTTGAAAGTAGTCACATAGTGAGACCGCATCCCTATAGAAAGTCAAAAAATTAGCCAGGCATGGTGGCACACACCAGTGGTCCCCGCTACATGGGAGGCTGAGGTGGGAGGATGGCCTCCTGGGGGAGTTCAAGGCTACAGTGAGCTATTATTGCACCACTGCACTCCAGCCTGGGTGACAGAGTCAAACCTTGTCTCACAAAAAAGAAAAATATGATAAACTCGGGCTCTTTCATTGGCCTATACACATTTATTGATCACCTGTTACTTGCCACATACTGTTCCGTGAATGAGGAGTATAAAGAAATTCAGTGATGGGTGTGGTGACTCACATCTGTAGTCCCATTACTTTGGAAGGCTGAAGTGGGAGGATCACTTGAGCCCAGGAGTTTGAGACCAGCTTGGGCAACACAGTGAGACTTCGTCTCTACCAAAAGTTAAAAAAAAAAAAAAAAAAAAATCAGCCTGGTATGGTGGTGTGCACCTGTAGCCCCAGCTGCTCAGGACGCTGACGTGGGAGCATAGCTTGAGCCCTGGAGGTCAAGGCTCAGTGCAGTGAGCCAGGATCACGCTGCGGTACTCCAGCCTGGAGGCAACAGAGCAAGACCTGTCTCAAAAAAAAAGTAGTTCACTGACGTTCACTTGCAGTTTATTGAGGGTGCCTTATAGTGCCGTGCAAGCCGGCTCAGTACCGAGCTCTCCAAGGCAGGACATATCAGGTACTGCTTGTGCTGTAGACTGAAGGAAGCCTCGAGAAAGGTGTCCTGTTCTTGGCCATAGTGGCGTATTTACCACTGTAAACTTTAACAATTATTTTACATTTTATTTCATTTATGTACTCCGTCTCGCTCTGTCACCCAGGCTGGAGTGCAGTGGCACGATCTCAGCTCACCGCAACCTCTGCCTCTCAGGTTCAAGCCATTCTTCTGCTGCAGCCTCCTGAGTAGCTGAGATTACAAGCACCGGCGACCATGCCCAGCGAATTTTTGTATTTTTAGTAGAGACGGGTTTCACCATGTTGGCCAGGCTGGTCTGGAACTCCTGACCTCAAGTAACCTGCCCGCCTCAGCCTTTCAAAGTGCTGGGATTGCAGGCATGAGCCTCAGCGTCCGGCCTATATTTTACTTTATGTTATGTTATGTTACTTTATGTTATGACAAGGTCTCACTCTGTCACCCAGGCTGGAGTGTGGTGATGTGATCACCGCTCACTGCAGCCTTGACCTCCTGTGCTCAAGCGATTCTCCCCTGTCAGCCTCCCAGGTAGCTGGGACTACATGTGTGCACCACCACACTCAGCTAAATTTTTTTTTTTAAGGACTGGGTTTTGCCGTATTTCCCAGGCTTATTTTATTTTTTAAATTGACACATAGTAATTGTATATATTCATGGGGTACACAGTGATGCTTTGATACAAAGAATGGAGTAATCAGATCAGGGTTAATTAGCATATCCATCATTTCAATTATTTGCCATTTCTTTGTGTTAGGAACATTGAATATCCTGTATCTATTTGAAACTGTACGACATTTTATTGCTAATTATGGTCACCCTACAAGGCTATAGAACACTGGAACATATTCCTCCTATCTTATATCCTTTAACAAACCTCTCCCTATCTCTCCCTTCTTCCCTTCCCAGAATCTAGTATCCTCTGTTCTTCTTCATCCTTTCAGGAGATTAGCTTTTTATAGCTTTCATGTATGAGTAAGCACAAGTACTGTTTAATGTTCTTTTCCTGGCTTATTTCACCTAACGTAACGTCCTCCAGTTTCATCCGTGTTGCTGCCAATCAGAGGATTTTATTCCTTTTCATGGCTGAATAGTATTCTACTGTGTGTAGATAGCACCTTTTCTTTACTGTCTGCTCATCTGCTGGTGGACACCTAGGTTGATTCCCTATCTTGGCTGTTGTGAATAGTGCTGCGGTAAACATGGGCGTGCCGATGTCTCTCCGATATCATGGCTTCCTTTCCTCTGAACAGATACCTAGTAATGTGATGGCCGGGTCATGTGGGAGTTCCATTTCTAGTTTTTGGAGGAACCTCCATACTCTTCTCTATGGTGGCTCTACTAGTTTACATTCCCACCAGCGTTGCATGAGAGTTCCCTTTCTAGCCAGGCACGGTGGCTCATGCTGGTAATCCCAGCACTTCGGGAGACCAAGCTGGGTGGATCACTTGAGCCCAGGACTTCAAGACCAGCCTAGGCAACATGGTGAACCCCCCGCCCCCTCCAAAAAGTACAAAAATTAGCCAGTGTGATGGTGGGCGCCTGTGGTCCCAGCTACTTGGAAGGCCGAGGCAGGTCGATCGCTTGAGCCTGGGAGGCAGAGGTTGCAGTGAGCTGAGATTGCACCGCTGCACTACAGCCTGGGAGACAGGGCGAGATCCTGTCTTAAAAAAAAAAAAAAAAAGAGTTCTCTTTTCTCCACACCCTCACCAGCACTTGTTATTTTTGTGTGTATGTGTCTTTTTTTTTTTTTCTGAGACAGAGTTTCACTCTTGTTGCCCAGGTTGGAGTGCAATGCTATGATCTTGGCTCACTGCAACCTCCACCTTCCGGGTTCAAGTGATTCTTCTGCCTCAGCCTCCTGGGTAGCTGGGATTTCAGACGCGTGCCACCATGCCTGGCTAATTTTTGTAATTTTAGTAGAGATGGGGTTTTACCATGTCGGCTAGACTGCTCTCAAACTCCTGACTTCAGGTTATCTACCCGCCTCGGCCTCCCAAAGTACTGGGATTACAGTGTCTTTTTGGTAATGGCCATCTTAACTGGGTTGAGATGATTGTTACCTCATTGAGGTTTTGATTTGCATTTCTCTGGTGATTAGTGACACTTAGCATTTTTTTCATATACCTATTGGCCTTTTCCATGTCTTCTTTTGAGAAATGTCTGTGAAGACCACTTGTCCATTTTTTAATTGGACTGCTTATCTTTTCGCTGTTGAGACGTTTGAGTTCCACGCTTGGTCACGGTGGTGGATTCACCCCGGTAAACATAAGAGAGCATTTCCGTCCAGTGTTTAGTGCACAGTTAAGGAATGGGCTGGTGGTCCCTCTGAATAAGATGCTCAAAGGAGTTGCCTTCTACCTCAAAGGAGTTGCCTTCTGCCTCTCAAATGGTCTTTATATTCTCTCCAAGGGAGCTTCCCTTACATCGGGCTGTGGCACACGATGCCTTGCCTCTTAGAACCATCTGAGTGTCACGTGCTTTCAGATCGTGACAACTTCAGTGTGCGGGCAAGAGTACATGTGAAATAAATTATCTTCTGCCTGTGTTAAGCAGAAATAGCTATCTTTACAAAGCAGGGATTTTTTTCCATGCTTACTCACCACTAAAAATACATGTTTGTTTTTCTAACAGGTTTCCTCCATTTTTTGATGACAACCCGTTTGGCATTTATCAGAAAATTCTGGCAGGCAAAATAGATTTCCCCAGACATTTGGATTTCCATGTAAAGTAAGTAAACCGTTTGCCTCGTCATGGGGTGTGTTTATTTTTAAAGTGTCTAAAATCACCATGAAAACACGCACTCAGCAGGATACCATATTGTGGTATTAAATGTGCTGCGCATAAACTATTTTGGACAGTTGTCTTTTCCACAAGAAAAGAAAAAGATTTTAAGTATTCTACTTTAATGATAACTTCACATTTTAATGAGTCTTGGCTGTATTTTATTCTTTTGGTGATATGTTATATTTAAAATGAGCCAATGAATGAGTTTGTCGTCGTATTTTATGAGAGAGCAGTTTTGGAATTTGACAAGAAGGATCCTAGTTCTGTGGCTAGCAGAACTGTTGATGGGTTTAGCAGAGTTTTATCCTTTCTCTCCGGCTTAAATTATGCTCAACCTCTAAGCCCTTTTTAACGTCAACATTTTCAGTTCTGAGCATGTTGCTTTACGAACATTTATATAGTTGCTGGATATTGGCAACTTTGGATGCACATTTTATTAAGGTTGTGGCAGTAGGGAGAAAAGATACTTTGTTAAATATAAGAATGCTTTTGGTTTTCTGGCTACCTTACCCAATCGGGTCACCTGGTAGCCATTTTTACTGCAATAAGCACTGATTTCTGTTTGTTTCACTGTATTTTTCAGATGAGTTAATGGGTGCACCAGCCCCCTGGGCACAAACTAGAGCTGAATGCATCTAGTTGAGAATTAAACTTTTATTTTCCATGGCCTATTTTCTTGTGAGCCAGTGGAAGTTCAGTTTGGAGAAGACTTATTTCAGGGCGACGGACCAGGTTGTTTTGAATATGCCCCTTATGGGGCCACTGGCTACGTTCAGTTGAGTTTCTTGGTGGCGAATGCACCCTATCCTAACCAGAGGTTCTTAGTCTGAACAGAAGATAAGGTCGTGTTTTATTGGCTTGAGCTTGTGTTGTGTTTGACACACTAGAGGCAGGTTTTAAAAGACTTTAGCAAGAAAACGAGGCTCCGCTTAACAATGAATCGCCTAGAAGGAACACCCTGTCCAGTGAATGGTAAGACAGGGAGGTGTCAGGGGAAACAGCACCTCAGAAGCCAACTGCTCTGGAAGGAAATAGAAAGGATTGTGTAGAACCTGTCTCTCAGGCCCCAAATCCATCTGAGTCGAGTGACATTATATCAAGTGGATGGCAAAGCACTTTTATGATCGAGTTTGGTAAGGTGAGGTGCTCATGCCTGTGATCCCAGCACTTCAGGAGGCTTACTTGGGGCCAGTCTAATAGTTTGAGGCCAGCCTGGACAATGTAGCAAGACCCCATGTCTACAAAAAAATTCAAAAATTAGCTGGGCATGATAGCATGTGCCTGTAGTCCCAGCTACTAGGGAGGCTGAGATGGGAGGACTGCTTGAGCCCAGGAAGTTGAGGCTGCAGTGACCTGTGATTGCACTGCTACACCTGTCTCTTATACACATCTAGATGTGTATAAGAGACAGGTAGAGAGGTTTCCAATGTCCTGTGGAAACAAACAAACAAAGGAATTGCAAAAATAGAACACACCAGAAGCATAATCAAAGTCTGGACTCTTGCCACTTTTCCTTCTTTCTCTCCTAGAGAGTAGAGAACCAGCGGTGACCATCTTGGTACTGTCTGATCTAACATCCCTCTCTTTATGTAGCTCCCAGCCCCTTCCAGTGTTCCCCACAATGCCCCTGTCTCTTTACATACCCAGTGCGGGTCCACCAAGAGCAGGAACAGTGGTAGTTGAGTAAAACTCCGTTTCTTTCCATTATTTGTTAAATCTTCTCAAATTGACTGAGAAGCAAGACCTCAGTGACTCATATCTTTCCTTTTATTTTTTGGTAGAGATGGCTATGGGGGTCTTGCTGCATTGCCTAGGCTGCTTTTGAACTCCTGGGCTCAACTGATCCTCCTGCCTTGTCCTCCCCAAGTGTGGGGATTACAGGCGTGAGCCACTGCACCTGGCCTTAATGATGCATTTTCTTATCCAAATCACTGTTCCTGGTTGGCCGTGATGCTAGAATTTTGATTCTCAGCTTCTTAAAGTCGTATGTTGGTTCCTGCAACTTTTATCATTTGACCGGGTAAACATGTCGCCTGGGCAAATGGCATGTCAGGATTGACATTTCTTATAGAAAGAAATATCATTTAAAAGAAGACACCAAAACAAAGCTCTGGGACTTGTTGCCAGTTCAGTAGAGGTATTATCTGCCGGGGGTTTTTTCATGCCTGAAAGTACCTGCATCTGAGAGGAGCCAGCTGGTGCCAGGATCAGAAATAAAATTTAGAATTTTGGCTATAGTGCATCAAAAGAGTGCCGGCAGATGTGTCGCTTATCCTGGGGTCAAGGGACCCATCTACAGCTGTGGACACTTCTGTTGTTCCTTTATAGGGCTTTGCGTCTTCGGGGGCCCCTTCCCATCCACACTCTTTACTTTCTAGACTCTGCTTTATAAGAGTTTGCTTTGGTATTTTACTTTTTTTTGTTTTTTTTTTAAGAGGTGGATGTCTTGCTCTGTCACCCAGGCTAGAGTGCAGTGGCACAATCATAGCTCACTTCAGCCTCGACGTCCTGGGCTCAAATGATGCTCCCACCTCAGCCTCCCGAGTAACTGGTGCTACAGTCGTGCACCACCATGTCTGGCCGATGTTTTGATTTTTTGTAGAGACGGGGGCCTTACTATGTTGCCCATGCTGGTCTCGAACTCTTGGTCTCAAGTGATCTTCCCACTTCAACCCCCTGCATAGCTGGGATTACAAGCCACTGTGCCCTGTATTTTAAATAAATCTTCATTTTCTTACATGCCAAACACCAAAAGAATTAAAAAAAAATTCAAGGTCATCAAACACTTTGTTTTCTTACATGCCAGACACACACACACACACACACACACACACACACACAAATTGAAATTTATCAAGGTGATCACCAAAACATTCTGAAATAAACATAGGGCTTTTTTTTCCACTATAATTTACATCACTGCCTGCCCCATTAGTGTACACACTTAAAGGTGATTGGACTGGGATTATAAGAAAACAGGTTTATTTAAAATATAAAAGCATAAATAAACCTTTCTTATAATCCCACTCCAGTGAGCTTTAAGTTTAAGTGTGTGTGATAAGGGGGCAGGCAGTGGTGTAAATCATATGAGGAAAAAGCCCCACATTTATTTGGGAATGTTTTGGGGGTATAGCATTTGATGACCTTGATTTTTATTTGGCAGAGGGGAGCATGTCAAAATAATGAAGGAGAAACTCACTAAGTAGTGGAAAGGTTTGTAACTTTTCGGTGATTTTTTTATATTCCCCACCCTGCTCAAAGCTTTTCAGCCTTGCAGGATGGATACAAAATCCCAGCCTCAGGTGGGCGGACAGATGGTCTCTGAGGTTTACTTAGAGGCAAAGAAACAGTGAAGTCTGACAAGCATCCCATTGTAATTGAGAAAGCATGGTGGCAGGAATTTCCGATCAGACAGGACTGGTGAGATTCACAGTCTAGATGGTGGAGTCTGACCCTGGGACGTCACCTGGCTTGTCAGAGTCTGCAGTCCGTCACCGAACCTGGGAGTGGCCCAGTCCAAGTTCATGCTACTTTCCCTGGGACGTAGTTTATGCCAGGAAAGCCTAGATGCTTACACCGGGGTCGTGGGTATTGGATTGTTTGGGGGGACTTCAATATATTATATTATTATTTCATGTTATATATATTATTATACATAATGTACTCTGTGTATTATATGTGTACATGCAGACACACGTGATCATTTCCACTTCCATAAATATGCATCTTAAAACTCGCCTAATCTACTAGAAGTCTTCAACATCATCTCTAACTACCCATCCTAATTGAACCAGCTTGCTGCTGCTGCTGTTGTTTGTTTGTTTGTTTGTTTTGAGACTGAATGTAGCTCTGTCACCCAGGCTGGAGTGCAGTGGCTCAGTCTCAGCTCACTGCAACCTTCACCTCCTGTGTTCAAGCAGTTCTTGTGCCTCAGCCTCTCAGGTAGCTGGGACCACAGTCATGTGCCAGCATGCCCAGCTAAAGTTTTTGTTTTTTGTAGAGATGGGGTTTCACCATGTTGGCCAGGCTGGTCTCAAACTCCTGACGTCAAGTGTTCCACACGCCTTGGCCTCCCAAAGTGCTGGTATTACAGGTGTGAGCCAGTGTGCCCAGCCTCCCAGCTTGCTGTATTTCTGACATGGTCTGTTATTTAAAAAGGAAGATTACAAGTGAAGAAGCAGACTTAGGAGACTCATCCTAATGTGTGTGCTTATGGGAAAGCCAGCCTTTTACAACAGGAATCCCATCAGTAAGCAGACCCCCAGGGCAGCGTGTGACTGTTGATGCTGGTGAAAGCAGATGTCTTCTATTTTGCAGGGACAGCCTGACAGGCATGTTTACGTTAAGTGTCTGAATCCTCCCTGCAGGCACATACAAATTTCACCCTTTTCTACTCAAAGGGGTAGTTTCTTGACAAAGATGTAATCAACCCCCTTCCCTTAGCTTCAGCCATGCAGGGGGCAACCCAGCCTTGCATAGGTTATTTAAGAGCCGGTGATGGTAGGAAATAAGCACTAGAAAATGTTTTGCTAAAATGGAAATGAACCGTGGTCCTCGGAGTGGGTAGACCTTATCTCTGTTGCCGTGCTGCGTTTGCTGATGTGGATATCTAATCTGTGCACTTTTTCTTTTTTTTTGTCTCCTTCCTCTACACAGAGACCTCATTAAGAAACTGCTCGTGGTTGACAGAACAAGGCGATTAGGAAACATGAAGGTCAGTATTTGATCCCATAGGTATTCAGTGGTACCCGATGTGCGTGTCTGCCGTCTGACACCCATATTGACATGTGCAGATATAAACCAAGGTTTAGCGGTTGGATTTAATCACTGCCCAAATGTCAGATCTGGTGCTTTATTTATTTATTTTTTATTTTACTTGAAACTGCCAGGAAAGATCTATCAAATCTGAGTTTCTGGGCACACAACGTCAAACTGGGTCTACACTGTATCTCCCCTCCCCTCAAGCAAGGTAATAGAGCAGTAACAATTTCTAAGTTATTACTCATTATTTTGTTTACTTATTTATTTTATTTTTTAAACAGCTTTACGGAGCGTGAACTCACACGCCTTGCAATTTACCCATCTAAAATGTGCAATTCAGTGGCTTTTAGTATACACACGATTATGTACAGCCAGCCCCATGGTTAATCTTAGAACATTTTCATGAGCTCAAAAAAGAAACCCTGCACCCTTCAGCTATCACTGTGCTGCTTTCTTTCATCCTCTCTTACCCTGAGCCAGCGGTCCCCAACCTTTCTGGCACCAGGGGCCAGTTTTGTGGAAGACAATTTTTCCACAGACCACACAACCTAAATCCCTCACATGCGCAGTTCACAACAGGGTGTGTGCTCCTATGAGAATCTAATGCCACCGCTGATCTGACAGGAGGCGGAGCTCAGGTGCTAACGCCAGTCATGGGGAGCAGCCGTCAATACAGGTGAAGCTTCGCTCACCTGCCTGCTGCTCACCTCCTGCTGTGTGGCCCATTTTGGTTCCTCATAGGCCATGGACCACTACCAGTTTGTGGCCCAGGGGTTGGGGACCCCGACCCTAAGCAGCCACTAATCCACTGACTTTCTCTGTAGGGTTCGGGATTCTGGGCTCTGCTAAAAATGGCCCTGCTGAACATGGAATTGTACAAAATGTAAGCTTTTGCGTCTGACTTCTTTCTCTGAGCAGATGTCTTCAAGGTTCATCCAGGCTATAGCCTGTGTCAGGGCTTCCTTCCTTTTCATGACCACATAGTGTGCGATTGTGTGGGCAGACCTTGTTTTGTTTATCCGTTCATCCATGGACGGACACCTGGGCTGTTTCCACCTTTTGGCTCTTGTGAGTAGTTCCGCCATGGACATGGGAGTATATGTTTTATGTGCGCAAGTGATGATTTTAAAAGTTGTGCGTCAGGTATGATTTCCACAAACTTTTTGTGTGGAGGCAAATGCATAATTGACAAACAGACTGTTCTGTAAGTAGTATCATACCTTATATGCAAGTTTTGGCATCCCTGAATTTGATAGAATTCATGAACTTTTTGTTGGCTATTTCTAGCTCTGGACAACCTTGGAGGGACTTATACTTGGAGGAACTTCCATATATGTCTTGACCCTGTAAATTACAGTCTGGGGAGACACAGTACACCAGGATGTGAGGCTTGGACCACTGGGCTCTCTTGGGGCCCTCTGTGTGGTTTAGGAGTCTCCAGTGGCTGCCATAACAATGGTCCACAAACTAGGGGCTTAGCAGGAGTTTATGCTCTCCCCATCCTGGAGAGCAGCAGTCTGAGATCACGGTGTCTCAGGCCTCCAGAGGCTCTAGGGGAGGATCCTTCCTGCCTCTCCCAGCCCCTGGGTGCTCCAGGCATCCCTGGGCTTGTGGTCGCATCACTCTAGTCTCTGTCTTTTTCTTCACGTGACCTTCTCCTCTGTGTCTGTGTCTCCTCTTCTGTCTCTCAGAAAGATGCCCGTCACTGGGTTTCGGGCCACCCTAATGCAGGATTATCTCTTCTCAAGAGCCTTCCCTTAATTACATTTACAAAGACCCTCTTTGCATGTAGGGTTCCATTCCCAGGTACTGGGAGTCAGGACATGGCCATATATTTTGGGGGCCACTGCCCAATGTGTGATAATTGTGTCTGCTTCCTGCCGGAGGCTCTAGGGGGGGTCCTTCCTGCCTCTCCCAGCTCCTGGGGGCTCCAGGCATCCCTGGGCTTGTGGCTGCATCACTGCAGTCTCTACTTCCATTTTCACATGGCCTTCTCCACTGTGTTTGTGTCTCCTCTTCTGTCTCTTATGAGGACACCTGTCACTGGATTTAGGGCCCACCCTACTCCAGGATGATGTCATCTCGAGAACTTTAATTTAGTTACATCTGCAAAGACCCTATTTCCAAATTAAGTGATATTCACAGGCACTGGGGGATAGGACATGCACGTATCTATTTGAGGGACATTGTTCACCCGGTAACTGTAGTCAAGCTTCTGTCCTTTACATTATTTGTAGACAGGGGCCGATACCTTCAGGTCTCCAAGGAGCCTGTCCAGCCAGGTTGCACGGTGTGGATTCATCTGTACCACGGCTCTTCATAAAAGTGGATGGGTCCTGTGTTAATGCCACAGCCATTTGGAAAAGAGCTGGGTCTCTTGCCAGGACTGCAGGGAATTACAGATGACCCATATCTAGAATCTGCTGGGAATGGCATAGTGACCGTTATAGGTACCTTCCGAGGGGGAAGAACAAGTTTCCCAACCAAAGGAATTGGGGAAAAGCTCACGAACTCTCAAACTAGGTCTTAAAGTCTAGTTAAAGCTTCCTGATATGGAGATAAACTGAAAGAAACTCAAGAAAACACTTTATTTTTTTTTAATTAACACATGAAAATGGTTTTATTTATCATGTACAACATGAAGTTTTGAAATATGCACCCATTGTGGAATGGGTCCATTGAGTTCATTAACATATGCATTACCTCACATAATTACCATTTATTTGTGGTGAGAACACTTAAGATCTATTCTGAAAAAAATTGTTTTTAAGAGATGGGGTCTCGATGTGTTGGCCAGGCTAGTCTCGAACTCCTGAGCTCAAGTGATCTGCCCGCGTCAGCCTCACAAAGTGCTAGGATTATAGGCAAGAGCCACTGCACCCGGCAAAATCTACTCTTCTAGAGATTCCTGAGAGTCCATCATTAGTTATAGTCACCGAGCTGTGCAAGCGACCGACTGAACTTGTTCCTCCTGTCTCACTCACTCTTTGTCTCTTTTGACCAATGACTTCCCATCTCAGCCCCTTCCCAGCCCCTGGTATCCGCCATTCTACTCTCTGCTTCTATGAATTCAACTTTTTTAGATTTCCCATGTAAGTGAGATTAGGTGGTATTTATCTATCTCTACCTGGCTTATTTCTCTCTCTCTTTTTTTTTTTTTTTTGAGACAGAGCCTTGCTGTATTACCCAGGCTGGAGTACAGTAGCACAATCTCTGCTCACTGCAACCTCCACCTCCTGGGTTCAAGAGATTCTCCTGCATCAGCCTTCCAAGTAGTTGGGATTACAGGTGCCCGCCACGCCCAGTTAATTTTTGTATTTTTGGGTACAGACGGGGTTGCACCATGTTGGCCAGGCTGGTCGTGAATTCCTGACCTCAAGTGATCTATCTGCCTCAGCCTCCCGAAGTGTTGGAATTACAGGCGTGAGCCACCATGCCTGGACCTTATTTCTCTTAATATAATATCCTCCAGGTTGATGCATATTTTTGAAAATGACCACATTTCCCTCCTTTTCCTGGCTGAATAGTACTCCATGGTGTATATATAACACGTTTTCTTTATCCACTCCCCTCTTGATGGGCACATAGGTTGATTCCATATCTTGGTGTTGTGAATTGTGGTGCAGTGAGCATGGGGGTGCACAGATCTCTTTGATATACTCATTTTTTTTTTCCTTTGGGTATGTATCCAGTAGTGGGATTGCTTGAGCCTCTCGTAGTTCTATTTTTAGTTTGTCAGGGATGAAACTGTCTGATTAAAATGAAAGTATGTTCCTGGGTAGCCCCTGGTCTATGGGTGCCCTAGAGAGGGACACTTACTCTTTTTCCCACTCTGACCGCCTCTCCATCCTCGGCTGCACTGCCATCCTCAGCCTACGTGTATCACTGCGTTCCCAGGCAGTTGTCATTACTCCCTGTGGCCTTCCCGCCACTGACTTTCCCCACAATCCCTCCTCTTCCCTAGGAAGAAGGGTCTGTCATTCATAGCCTGGAGCCCCAGGGCCTTAACTTGGTTAAGAACTTCCAGATTCTTCTCATCCCTTGCTTCTCATCTGATGATTCCGTGGTCTTCCCCGTGAACCCTCATGCAGCCAGGATGGATGAGCCACCTGCTGCCGTACCTGTCACCGTCGCACCTTGCTGTTCTTCTCTCTTCGCTTGGCACCTCTTCATTCGGGGATCTTCCCTTCTTCTTCTGGAACCACATCCATTCTGTTGAACTCCTTCATCCTCTGTGGACGCTGCTGTGCCCTGCACGCTTGGAAAATCCCCAGCATGCTCCTTTTTTTAATATTAGCTGGACTTATACATGCACATGCATCTGCACACACACTTTATAGATATAAAATAAAATATAGAGAGATTTATATACAAATTTATTTATAAAATATAAAGTATGTGTATCTATACACACACATTGCATTTTTATACACTTTATATACAAACCAGCATAAAAAAGTCAAAGGAATACAGATTTATCTATACATTATTTAAATAGATAATTATACATATATGTAGATAGATTATATTTTATGTAATACTGATATATATCTATATAAATATATAGTATATGTAGATACTTAGAAATAAATATAAATATATATGTATTTAGAAATAAGTAAAAATCTATATAATAAAGATATATACATATAAATACATAGATTTATAATATAGGTATGTAGATACAATATAAAGTGTGATGCTGGGCGCAGTGGCTCACGCCTGTAATCCCAACACTTTGGCAGGGAGGCAGGCTGATCACCTGAGGTCAGGAGTTTGAGACCAGCCTGGCCAACATGGTGAAACCCCGTCTTTACTAAAAATACAAAAATTAGCCGAGTGTGGTGGTGGGTGCCTGTAATCCCGGCTACTTGGGAGGCTGAGGCAGGAGAATTGCTTGAACCCGGGAGGCAGAGGTTGCAGTGAGCCAAGAGCACGCCATTGCACTCCAGCCTGGGCAATAAGAGCTCAACTCCGTCTCAAATTAAGCAAATAATAATATAAAGTGTGTATACCTATATATAGATATATTGCATTTTTTTTTGAGATGGAGTCTTACTCTGTCTCCCAGGCTGGAGTGCAGTGATGTGATCTTGGCTCACTGCAACTTCCACCTCCCAGGATCAAGCGATTCTCCTGCCTCAACCTCCTGAGTAGCTGGAATTACATGCACTTGCCACCACACCTAGCTAATTTTTGTAATTTTTTTTTCATAGAGACGGGGTTTCACCATGTTGGCCAGGCTGATCTCGAAGTCCTGACCTCAAGTGATCTGCCCACCTTGGCCTCCCAAAGTGCTGGGATTGTAGGCATGAGCCACTGCAACTAGCCAGACACATTGAATTTTTATACACTTTATGTACAAGCTAACATACAAAAAACTCAAAGGAATATATTTATCTATACATCATGTAAATAGATAAGTGTATATATATATATTTATCTATAAATTACATATATTTATAAATATCCATATATAGTATATATTTAGCAATATATAAATAAAATATAGCTATATATTTAGAAATATATAAATATATGTATATGTAGATCTGTATAATATAGATCTGTAGGTATCAGTATATAGCTATATATAATGTAATAAATATATAATATAGGTATGTACATATAAAGTGTGTATATCTCTCTACAGAGACATTGCATTTTTATATACTTTATATACCAACTAGCATACAAAAAAGTCAAAGGAATATAGATTTGTCTATACCTTATATAAATAGATAATTATATATACAGATTTATCTATAAATTATATATAATGTTTATATAAAATATATAGCATAGCTATTTGGAAATACATAAATGTATATAAATCTATATATATTTAGAAATATATGCAAATAATAAATGTATATGTAAATATGTATAATATAGCTATATAGCTATGTATCAATATATGGCTGTATATAAATATATAATATAGGTATATAGATATAATATAAAGTATGTATATCTCTCTACAGACACATTGCATTTTTATACACTTTATATGCAACCCATACAAGAAGTCAAAGGAATGAAATGCATGTTTTAAGAGTGAGAACTTTGGCCAGGCGTGGTGGCTCATGCTTGTAATCCCAGCACTTTGGGAGGCCGAGGCAGGCGGATCACCTGAGGTCGGGAGTTCGAGACCAGCCTGACCAACATGGAGAAACCCTGTCTCTACTAAAAATACACAGCTGGACGTGGTGACACATCCCAGTAATTCCAGCTACTTGGGAGGCTAAGGCAGGAGAATCGCTTGAACCTGGGAGGTGGAGGTTGCAGTGAGCTGAGATCACACCACTGCACTCCAGTCTGGGCAACAAGAGCAAAACTCTGGCTCAAAAAAACAAAAAACAAAACAAAAAGAGTGGGAGCTTTAAGTAACTGCAGTCACATGCCACTTAATGATGGAGCTGGCCTCTGAGAAATGTGTGGTTAGGTGATTTTGTCTTTGTGCACGCATAGGGTGGACTCACACACACCCGGCTGGCCCAGCCTCTGACACACCAAGGGTGTATGGCAGATTCTTTTGCTCCCAGGCTACAAGTGTAGATGGTATGTGGCTATGCTGAGTAACACAAGGAATGGTCAGCATGTGTGCATCTAAGCATCCCTAAGCTTAGACAAGGGACAGTAAAAATACAGCACAAAACCTGAAAACTGGCGCCTGTATAAGGCACTCAGCATGAGTGGAGCTCGCAGAACGGAATGTTGCGCTGGGTGAGTGAGTGAGGGAGGTGTGAGTGGGTGTGAAGGCCAAGACATTCCTGTGCACCAATGAAGGCCTCATCAACGCTGTACACTTAGGCTGCACTCAGTTCATTTTAACAAGATTCATTCTTCACTAAGGAATTAACCTTAGCCGACTGGAACTTTTTTATTCTATTAACTTTTTAAATGTCGTTTTAACGTTTCGATTATTTTGCTAATAATACTTAGCCTAAAACACAAGCATATTATGCAGCTGTACACCAATATTCTCTTTCTTCTATAAACTATTTTCCCTTTTTTGCTTTTTAAATATTTTTGTTCAAAACTGAGATCCACACACATTAGTGTAAGCCTGCACAGGGTCAGGATGCCCGGCCTCCCTGTCTTCCTCCTCCACACGCGACTGCAGTGCAAAGTCTTCAGAAGCAGTAACACACATGGTCACAACGCCTTTGAGAATCCCTCCCAAGGGACCTGCCTGAGGCTGCCTCACACTTAACTTTTTAACATAAGGCGAAGGAGCACACTAAATGGTAACAATCAAAAGAGTATAGGTTGCGCGCAGTGAGTGGCTCACTCCTGTAATCCCAACACTTTGGGAGGCCAAGGCAGGAGGACTGCTTGAGCCCAAGAGTTCCAGACCAGCCCGGGCAACAACAGTGAGACCCATCTCTACATAACATACAACAATTAGCCAGGCGTGGTGGTGCGCGCCTGTAGTCCCCGCTACTTGGGAGACTGAGGCATGAGAATTGCTTGAACCCAGTAGGTGGAGGTTGCAGTGAGCCGATAGGCGCCACTGCACTCCAGCCTGGATGACAGAGTGAGACTCTGGCCACTGCACCTCCCCGCCAAAAATGTAGAGTATAGTAAATAGATAAACCAAGGCCATAGTCATTAATATCATTACCAACTATTAGGTGCTGCAGATAACATACGTGTTAGACTGTTATACGGCTGGCAGTGCAACAGGAGGGATGTGCTGTCCTGTGGTTACAATGGCCGTGATGTCACTAGGGGATAGGAGTTTTTAAGATCGTTATAATCTTAAGGGAGCACCACTGTATATGTCATCCATTGTTGACTGAAGCATCATTTTGAGGCTCATGACTGTAGACACACACCCACCCACACACTTTTTTTATTTTTATTTTTTCAAGACAGGGTCTTGCTCTGTCATCCAGGCTGGAGTGCAGTGGTGTGATCACAGCTCACTGCAGCCTTGACCTCCTGGACTCAAGTGATCCTCCTACCTCAGCCTCCCGAGCAGCTGGGACTATATGCATGTATCACCATGGCTGGCTAGTTTTTTTAATTTTTTTTGTAGAGACCAGGTCTGACTTTGTTGCCCAGGTTAGTCTCAAACTGCTGGGATCAAGCAATCCTCCTGTCTTGGCTTCCCAAAGTGCTGGAATATAAACGTGAGACACTGCTCCCACCCCCCCACACACACTTTATAACACACACACACACACTAGTTTGGATACTAATGTAAATCTCAGTATATACATATACTTTATACTCTACATATAAAGTTTGTAAAGTACATATGTATATGTGTATATATATAATATATGTGTATATATTAACGTGTATGTATATAAGTATGTGTATATATGTATATGTTAATGTGTGTATGTATATAAGTATATGTATATATAAATATATGTGTGTATATATTAACGCGTGTATGTGTATATATAAATATATGTGTATATGTTAACATGTGTATGTATATAAGTATGTGTATATATGTGTATATTAATGTGTATGTGTATATATAAATATATATGTATATATTAATGTGTATGTATATAAGTATGTGTATATATGTGTATATATTAATGTGTGTATGTGTATGTATAAATATATGTATATATATTAACATGTGTATGTATATAAGTATGTGTATATATGTGTATATATTAACGTGTGTGTGTATATGTGTATATATAAATGCATGTGTATATATTAACGTGTGTATGCATATAAGTATGTGTATATATCAATATATATGTGTGTGTATATATTACTATGTATGCATGTGAGTATATACAGACACACACATCCTTTAGTATCCAAATTAGAATTTTATCTGATGGATAAAATTTATTTTATTTTATTCTCTTATTTTATTCACAGCACTCTTATTTACTCTTATTCACAACATTGCTGAAGGTAAAACTCGACAGCTATTATTTGTTGCCTGACTTAGCTGTAGATCAAAAATACCTGTTTTGCAATAAGAAGAGAAAAAGTTGTGAAAACAACTGGATGGGAAAACAATAGAAACAATTCACATTACTGTTTCCTTTTGAAGATATAGTCGTGGACGTAGTCCTCTTTAAGGATAAGAAATTTGAAACTACAGAAATGCTAACTGATAAACGTGTTAAATTCAGATGTACCGACTTCTATTTCATGGAACCCACATGTTTATTTCTTCTGCTGTCCCACATTTAATTGATAACAACATCACTACAAGTATAAAAAAAGGAAGCAGAGTGAGGTTTAAGGATGAGCACTTGGGAGGGATTTCAGAGGTCGTGATGGCCACAGTGTGAGCCAGCCAATGCCTGGTGCTACCCTTGAGCATGAAGCAGGCCGACTTGAATGCACGTTGTTAATTGCCAGGCCATGCAATATCGTTCCTAAAATCTCTTAAATTGGACATCCTTGGTTTGAGTTCCCAGTCTTCTTATTTACTTGCTGGTTCCTACTAAGCAAATTAACATCTTTCAGTGAACCCTAGTTTCTATATCTGTAAAATACTGAATAAGTTTGCAAGATAAAAACAGGAGACAAACTGGGAAATTACTGGGTGTCCAATTTCATGTCGAGAGATGGAATCGTATTTATCATTTTCGTCCTTGGTCCGCAATGCCAACGCATTGCACGGGAGCAGAATGACTGGATTTGTTTCTGCAACAAAAAAGGGCAAACAAAACACTAACAGCTTTGCTTGCAGGTTTTCCTAGCAGCTCACCCTCCAGGCACAGTTATCCAAAATGCAGCAAACTTGTTCCGTTTGTTTCAATACTAGAATAATGTAGAGATTCTTTAGGATATTTTTCTTTCCTGCCCTGTCAAAATTCCACACGCTGACGACATGTGTTGTTTCTTTTGAAGAACGGGGCAAATGATGTGAAACGCCATCGGTGGTTCCACTCTGTGGACTGGGAAGCTGTTCCGCAGAGAAAACTGAAGGTACAACACATATCAGTGGGTGACTCAGTACGCCCGAGCTCTCCCGTTAACAGGGACTGCCTCTGAATCCTGGGACTTCTTTATTGATGCCTGACATGTAATTAATTTATATAATACAACTATTTGTCTAAAACCTTTCATAAGCCAAGTTTCCCACTCTATGAGTGTCTTAGTGCTAACCATCTACCTAGCTCCCGCAAAGGCAGGAGCCACCACACCCAGTCATATACCACGTGTTCTTTGTCCATTCATCCTTGGATGGACACTTATCCCAGATTTTGAAGCAGATTTTAGGAGACTTGGCCTGATTCCTGACTAGCTCTGTGACTGCTGAACCCCACTCCTTCCTCTTTAGTGGAAGGCGGTCAACAGGATTACAGAGATAAGCGAGTGTCTAGCACCATGGTCATCGTTCAGTGATGGTGGTGTATTACATGGAGAATATTCTTTGGAACATTTCTGGCCAAACTGCCTATTTTTAAACATCTGGCTTTTTGGCTGGGTGCTGTGGCTCACGCCTATAATTCCAGCACTTTGAGAGGCCAACTCAGGCAGATCACTTGAACCCAGGAGTTTGAGACTACCCTGAGCAATATGGTGAAATCCCATCTATACAAAAAATATAAAAATTAGCCGAGCGTGGTAACGTACGCTTGTAGTACTAGCTACTTGGGAGGCTGAGGCACAAGAATTGCTTGATACCAGGAGGCAGAGGTTGCAGTGAGCCAAGATTACGCCACTGCACTCCAGCTTGGGTGACAGAGCCAGACCCTGTCTCAAAAAAAAAAAAAAAATCTGGCATTTTTTTCAATATATAATACTTGTCGGTTTTATAAATGAGGAGACTGTGCCTCTGAGAAGTTAAGCAGTGTGTGGAACGTTACACAGCTGCTAAGCAGTATAACTATCACATGTACGTATTTATGGGGGTACATGTTATATTTTGACACATGCATAGAAGGTATAATGATCAACCGAGGGTAATCTGGGTATCCATCAGCTCAAACATTTATCATTTTTATGGGTTGGGAATATTGCAAACCTTCTAGCTCTTCTGAAATATACGATATATTGTTAACTCTGGCCACCCAACTATGCTATCAAACACTGGAACTTATTCCTTTTATCTAACATTATGTTTATACAATATTTCTTCATCTCGCCTTCATCCCCCACCCACACACCCTTCCCACCCTCTGGTAACCATCATTCTACTCTCAACCTTCATGAGATCAATTTTTTTAGCTCCCACATATGAGTGGGAACATGCTGTGTTTCTCATTCTGCATCTAGCTTAGTTTATTATTTATTATTTATTTTTTGAGACAGCGTCTTGCTCTGTTGCCCAGGCTGGAGTGCAGTGGCATGATCTTGCTCACTGCAGCCTCCACCTCTTGGCTTCAAGTAATTCTTATGCCTCAGCCTCCTGAGTAGCTGGGATTACAGATGCCCAGCTAATTTTTGTATTTTTACTAGAGACAGGGTTTCATCATGTTGGCCAGGCTGGTCTCAATCTCCTAACCTCAAGTGATCCACCAGCCTTGGTCTCCCAAAGTGTTGGGATTACAGGCGTGAGCCACCGCACCTGGCCTAGTTTAGTTTACTTAACATGATGATCTCCCATTCCATTCGTGTTGCTGTAAATGACAGGATTTCATTCCCTTTTATGGCCGAATAGTTTTTCATCGTGTGTGTGGACCACATTTTCTTTATGCATTCATCTGCTGGTGGACACTTAGGTTGATTCCGTATCTTGGCTTTCGTGCACACTCTGCACTGCACATGTTACTGACTGGAGTGTTCAGTGGTAGTGTTTTCACCTTTGCACTTCAGAGTCAAAACAATGGAGAATGCTTAGAAATGCTTATTCCCAGTCCTCAGCTCAGATCAGAGTTTCTGGGGCTGGAGCCTGGGATGATACGCTGCTTCTTCTTCTTTTTTTTTTTTTGAGATGGAGTCTCACTTTGTCACTCAGGCTCAGGCTGTAGTGCAGTGGAATGATCTCAACTCACTGCAACCTCCACCTCTTGGACTCAAGCGATTCTCCTGCCTCAGCCTCCCAAGTAGCTGGGGTTACAGGTGTGCACCACCACATCCAGCTAATTTTTTTTTTTTGTATTTTTAGAAGAGATGGGGTTTCACTATGTTGGCCAGGCTGGTTTCGAACTCATGACCTCAAATGATCCACTCTCCTCGGCCTCCCAAAGTGCTGGGATTACAGGCGTGAGCCACTGGGTGTGGGCTGACTTTGTTCAAAGTTTTACCTTTTCAAATACTTTATTGTATTAAATTGCATTAGTAAAACAATTTGAATATGTTTTGTCTATCCACATTGGTCAAAAACCAAGTCAATATTAAAACAGATATATTGCCAAGTCTCCCTCTTACCCCCTCCAAGCCACGTGTAGGTAATCACCTTTTATTATATTTTTCTGTGTATCCTTCTAGAGTTTCTTTGTGCTAATAAAAACCCGCATGGATACATGCATTCTTACTTTTGCCACTCATTTATACAAATCTAGAGTAGCGTAGTATGTATATGATTGTAGTCTTGCTTTTTGTATTTGACTGTATAATCTGGAGACCTGTCTACATACCTGGCTAGCTTCCTTATTTTTTTATTTTTATTTTTATTTTTATTTTTGAGATGAAGTCTTGCTCCGTTGCCCAGGATGGATTTCAGTGGTGTGATCTTGGCTCACTGCAACCTCCGCCTCCTGGGTTCAAGTGATTCTCCTGCCTCAGCCTCCCGAGTAGCTACGATTACAGGCACCCGACACTATGCCTGGCTAATTTTTGTATTTTTGGTAGAGATAGGGTTTCTCCATGTTGGTCAGGCTGGTCTCAAACTCCTGACCTCAAGTGATCCACCCGCCTTGGTCTCCAAAGTGCTGGGATTACAGGTGTGAGCCACTGTGCCCAGCCAGCTTCCTCATTTAAAAAAAAAAAAACTGCCTTGTATTCCATCACATGACTGTACCATAGCTTACTTAATATGTCTATATTTTGAGACAGGATCTCACCCTGTCATTCAGGCTGGAATGCAGTGGTGCAGTCATGGCTCACTTGGAGTATCGACCTCCTGGGCTCAAGCGGTCCTCCCACCTCAGCCTACTGAGTAGCTGAGACTATAGGCACATAGCGCCACACCCGGCTATTTTTGTATTTTTTGTAGAGACGGGACTCCCTGTGTTCCTCAGGCAGGTCTCAAACTTCTGAGACTTAAGCAACCCTCCTGCCTCAGCTTCTTAAAGTGTTGGGATTACAGGCATGAGCCCCCACACCCAGCCTCATTCACAATATTTTAATTCAAAGATTGCCGTGTTCATCAATGAAGGGAAGACAGCTTTAGTGTTTTGCAAATCATTTTCATTTATGTGCAGCATCCTAGCGTCCCATTCCTTTCTAACCATGCCTTTATGCTTCGGCCATGTCTCACAGCCTCCCATCGTGCCCAAGATAGCTGGCGACGGCGACACTTCCAACTTCGAAACTTACCCCGAGAATGACTGGGACACAGCTGCACCCGTGCCGCAGAAGGATTTAGAAATCTTCAAGAATTTCTGAGGACAGGAGCTCACATCTGGAAGGTATATCTTTATATTTAGTAATTACCAAAAAATGAGACTGACTCGACCCCACATCCAGGTGAGGCTGCGTTTACTGAATGGGGCTTAACCTCATGCGCACAGAGGTCAGCAGTGAAGCAGAGCAAAGGGGAATGATTCCAAGGGTCAGTGACATAAACACAGCCATGCCTGTGACTCCAGGTCAGCATGTGGTCGGAGGCATCGGCGTCACAGTTTAGAATCCATCTTCTGCGTCAGAACCTGCACATCTAAATAAGACCCCTGGGTGGTTTGTGTGTGCCTGAACATTTGAGAAGCCCAGCTCTTCTGGTCCCTGTTCCAGAAACCCTGAGTGACAGGCGAGCTTCCTTACAGTAATTAACAAGTATTTTCAAAAGTCTCTTAGGTCCCCTTTGGTTAAAAAATAAGAAGAAGAAACGTACCCTCATAGGAAATTTGCTAAGCTTTGAAGATGACTGGAAAGGGGTTTTGAGTCTATTACTTCTTTGAGCCTTCGCAGGTCTGTTATTATTTTTTAAATAATAATAATATTTTTTAGGATCCCTCATGAAATTTGCTAAGCTTTAATTTCAGATGACTGAAAAAGGGTTTTGACTGTTATTTCCTTGAGTCTTTGAAAGTCTGTTATTAGTTTTTAAATATGGATTAAAAAGAGCTTTCAGTTACTCCTCAATTCTAAATTGCTCGGTTATATGGCTTCAATTAGATCTTTCTTCCTGTAACATATGAGCAAGAAAAATACCAGTGAAGCAAAATATTGTCAGTGATGTGTCTACTCATTGACATAGCTTGTTTTTCCCACTTTGATTTCCATTCCCATAATTTTCCTGTAGTCTTCCCAGTTGGCTAACCAACACCATTTGAAACAGACACCAAATGTCACAGTTGCTGATTGGGGAGAGGAACCAACCTGCTGAAAGACGGGATGAATGAGAGCCCTCCATCCTGGGTGGGTGTTTCCATGGATGTATCAAGAGGAAAACTGGATAAAAATTAAAATAATAGAGAACAAAATGATAGAGGAATAGGTGGCTATGACCTCGAGAAAATAACCTGTCTCCGCGGCATGGCTTCACCTCTCAGTATGTGATGAACGCTTTTACAGTGGTGACTGGTTTGTATTGACATGAGAGTGTGTAACTTTATCAACTTCATAAATGCTTGTGCAATCCAGTTGTGGGTTTTAAAAATCATAAGATGTTCCTGAATGTGTTTGTTTCTGTGGTCTACTTTGGGGCTTACATTTTCGCTAACTTGCGCATAACATCTTACAAATTATGTCTCTCCAGGAAATCTTTAAAATGATGTAAAGACTTGGTTTGCTTTAGTATGAAGGACCCGTTGATAAGCCACAAAAATAGAACCTTTCTCTAACAGAGAGCCCTCAGTTGTAAAATTTACTTCAAGAACAAAAAAGCTTCCATTGGATGGATTTTTGTCTTATAATCAGTGAACAGTTTCATTACATCCTGTCCCCAGCTGCCCCTACTGTCCCTGAAAAGGATTGCACACATAGGAATAACCTTTCTCAGTCTGATATGCATTGTTGAGAAAGTATGTGTAAGTATTCTTTTTGCTAAGTGGACTCATTTTTAATGTAGTTTGGCTAGTGGTGGTCAGGGCTCTATTTAATGAATTTTTTTTTTTTTCCTTTTTGAGACGGAGTCTTGCTCTGTTGCCCAGGCTGGAGTGCAGTGGCGTGATCTCAGCTCACTGCAACCTCTGCCTCCTGGATTCAAGTGATTCTCCTGCCTCAGCCTCCCGAGTAACTGGGATTACAGGTGCCTGCCACCACACCACGCTAAATTTTTGTATTTTTAGTAGAGATGAGTTTAGCCATGTTGGCCAGGCTGGTCTTGAACTTCTGAGCTCACGCAGTCTGCCCGCCTCGGCCTCCCAAAGTGCTGGGATTACAGGCATGAGTGTGCCTGACCCAGATGCAATATTTTAATCCGTCTCAGTAATTTTATCAAGTAATTTGCATGCCAAACACATCCCTGGCATTTTCAGCAACGAGCAATTAGGTTCAGGAATTTTATGCAGGAAGATAGTTCTTCATGAAGCCAAATCTTCTCCTGTAAATAGGACACCAGTTCAGATGAATCACTGCACTTGAGGGCAGCTTAGAAACTATGCTTTAGCCGTTCATCTTTGTTTGAATCACCCCACATACCTTTCTGAATGTGGAGGAGAAATTTAGGAGAACTGACTCACTATGTCTTTTATTTTACTTTGTAATAAAATATTTTCTGTCTTGCTGTGAGGTTCTCTGAGGAAGCATGTGGAATTGGGGATCTCCATCCAGAGATGCAGGTCATCATCTGTCGGTGGATACATTTATCTATTTATGGATAAGCGTATGATACAACATTCTTTAGGCTGGGTGGGGTGGCTCCTACCTGTAATCCCGGTACTTTGGGAGGCTGAGGTAGGAGGCTCACTTCAGGTCAGGAGTTTGAGATCAAGCCTGGGCAACATAGTGAGACTCCATGTCTACAAAAAATAAAAAAGTTAGCCAGGTGTGGTGGTACATACCTGTTGTCCCAGCTACTCTAGAGGCTGAGGTGGGAGGCTCGCTTGGGTCTGGAAAGTTGAGGCTGCAGTGAGCTGTGATTGTGTCCCTGTACTCTGGCCTGGATGGCAGAGTTAGACCGTGTCTCAAAAATGAAAACAGGGCTGGGCAAGATGGCTCACACCTGTAATCCCAGCACTGTGGGAGGCTGAGGCGCATGGATCATCTGAGGTCAGGAGTTTGAGACCAACCTGGCAAACATGGTGAAACCCCGTCTCTATCAAAAATGCAAAAATCAGTCAGACATGGTGGCAGGCGCCTGTGATCCCAGCTACTCGCGAGGCTGAGGCCGGAGAATCTCTTGAATCTGGGAGGCAGAGGTTGCAGTGAGCTGAGATTGCGCCACTGTACACCAGCCTGGGCAACAAAAGCAAAACGCCGTCTCAAACAAACCAACCAAAAAAAACCCTTACCTTTGATACATTCTTCATTTCCTTTTTATTGGCCTCTCCTTTTAGAATTCAGGCTTATGGATCCTTGCAAAAAGAATTACAAAGGGAAGTTTTCTTTGTTGTCACTTAGGAAAAGGAAACCTTTGTGTTATCATTGAGATGATCATGATTACGAAATTCATCCAGTTACTGAGAAACTCACAAAATCTTTCATCCTATTTCATGCTAGAAACAGGAAGATTGGAATCGGCCTGGAACAAAGAACTGCACCTAAGCAGACCAGAAGTAAAATGTCTTCTTCACGGCATAAGGACATTTCCACTTTTCTGTGTACCTGTGTGTATAGAAATAGATCAGAGCACAGTTGAAATTAATGGAACTGGCATTATTTAAGCAACTGGAATTCCACACTGTAGGAGGGTTTTGAAAATTGTTTGGTTGTAGATTTTATCTTATCCTTTAGTGTTGTTGTGTGCCTACTGTGATGTCTTGGTTTTTCTCATAGACTTAAGTTTATAAGTTTGAACTGGACTTGTTCGATTATAACCACAAATTGTGTGTGTGTGTGTGTATGCCTGTGTGTATATATAGAAGTCATTATGGTAGATGCACAGAAACTGTGCAGTGATGTAAATGTTCATATTTCACAGAGCCTATAATTTTTATTTTTCAATTTGTTTTTTCAAAAATCTCTTCTCGGGGACAACATCTGAAGGGTATGTTGCATGCATTAAAAAAAAATCATCTCACATGTATTTTATAGTTTGGGGGAAGAAAATATCATGGGGAGGTCTACCTTCAGTATCTTTAGTGCTTCCTACCTGGTAACTTGAGATTTTAAAAGAAGAAACAAAGAGAAAGAAGATATGGGAGCGAATTTATTCCAAGAATCTGCAATGACATTGAAGTTGTTGGAGGAATGTACTGTATTTAAAACAACTTTCTGTGACACATTCAAAAATTTCATCTGAGCTGGATGCAGTGGCTTGTTCCTATAGTCCCAGCACTTTGGGAGGCTGAGGTGGGTGGATTGCTTGAGCCCAGGAGTTGGAGATCAATCTGGGAAACATGGTGAGACCTCATCTCTACAAAATACAAAAAAATTAGCCAGGCATGGTGGCACGTGAATGTAGTCTCAGCTACTCAGGAGGCTGAGATGAAAGGATCACTTGAATCCAGGGAGGTCCAGGCTGCAGTGATCTGAGATTACACCACTGCACTCCAGCCTCGGTGACAGAGTGAGACCCTGTCCAGGAACAAAAAAAAAAGAAAAAAAAAGAAAGTTAATGGCTTTGTGCTTTCGCAGGTGGAATGAAGAGAACGTCCACCTTAAGGCTTTAAAAGACAGTGAAGCTGGGTACAGTGACACACTCCTGTAAACCTGGGACTTTGGGAAGCTGAGGCAGGAAGATCGCTTGAGCCTAGGAGTTTGAGACCGGTCTGGGCAGCATAGCGAGTCCTCATCTCTATAAAAAGAAAAAAAAAATGTTACAACACAGTGAAATTGCAGAAACAGAACACAGCTGCCCTTTTTCATCAATGACCTTTTCTTCACGTGGAGGTCAACTCAGTAGGTGAGAATAATTAGTAGGTTCAGTAGAATAAACTCTTTACAATTAATCAGTCACTGGAAAATGATGTTCAGATGGTGAAATGTGGAAATGTTTTAGACAACTGTATTTTCAGCCTGTGCATCTCACTCACCATCTTGTTGGGATTAACAGTTGAGGGCCATCATTGTCTAAACATGTAGCATGCAGTTTCCCATCAGTTTTACCGTGAATGTGAAAAGGTGAAACTGGTGCTGACTTCGGCAGCAGGTATACTCAAATTGGAATGACACAGAGGAGATGAGCATGGCTCCCTTTGCAAGGAAGATCCGTATATTCATGCAGCATTCCAATTTTTTTTTTTTTAAAAAGGTTATACTGTGCACTGAGATGTGGAGCTAGAAGGAAAAGCATTAGGTCTCATGTTTGCTGACTATAAAAATAAATCATAGTAATATTATTGAACATTCTACTTTAAAAATTATTAATAAAACCATAAATGAAACACTTGAGCACATTTTAAAAAGTACATAGACCCATGAGTCCATATGCCTATTTTTAGGTTGTCTGTTTTATTATCCAGGATTTCATACTCAGATGAAAATTAGCATCAGGAAAGCCTGAAATGCCTTAATTGTGACCTGAGATGCAGGAAAATGAAATATGCAAGCACATGGATGACCTCGTTCTTTACGGACATTGTTACCAGCCTCTAGCCATACAGAACAAATGAGAAATTAGAAGCAATTCAAGAGCGTGTGATGGCGTGAAACCCACTTTTGACCGTCGCGCACATTTCAGCATTTGAAGTGACACGGGCTACCTGGTAACTGCCCATGGCGGGGTCATAGTTTAAATGGCCCAATGTCATGTAGAGGTTAATTTAATCAAAATGAGCTATAAACACGGAACAATCACTATATATAATTTTAAAACAGTTTACCTGGCCAGGCACAGTGGCTCACGCCTGTAATCCCAGCACTTTGGGAGGCTGAGGTGGGCGGATCACCTGAGGTGAGGAGTTCAAGACCAGCCTGGCCAACATGGCGAAACCCCCATCTCTACTAAAATACAGAAATTAGGTGTGGGGGTGGGCGCCTGTAATCCCGGCTACTCGGGAGGCTGAAGCGGGAGAATGGCTTGAACCCGGGAGGCGAGGCTGCAGTGAGCCGAGATTGTGCCACTGCCCTCTAACCTGGGCGACAGAGCGAGACTCCATCTCAAAAAATAAAAATAAAAAAAATAAAAATAGTTGACCTGGGTGGTCATTCCAAAATTTTCTCATAGATGATCATGTGAAACAATCACCGTGCAAAATGTGGAGGAAAATTCATTATAATAATCACAAAATTTGTATCAGAAAAACGTTACAAATTTACTTTGCTTCATGTAATTTTATGAGTTGGCAGTATTTTCTTAAATTGGAATACTATAAGAGAATATCTTTAGGAAATGGATATGTTACAACAAGAAGTATATTGGGGCAAGTCTTGTTTTTCTGAAGGGAAATGCCACCAGCCTGCTTTCATAGGCATTGATAAAGCCAGGAAGGAAATAAAGTCACAACCGAATAGTATACACTGTATCTACTGAATTCTTCTAATTCCTTTGCAACAGAAGTCTAAATCCTGCTTAGCCTAAACATATCTATAGCCAGTGATGGGCAAATTATATTTGCTGTCAGCGTGATAGAATAAGAAGCAGAAACCCCCCAGCAGTGGGGTAAGATTGCGCGCTTCGTCCCCTCAAAATGCTGTTCAGCCCCACTCCCTCTCCATGCCCATCAAACAACTGCACAATCACTTGTTCGTGAATTTCTCATTCAGCGTTTTGTTTCTTTCTGTCCACACTTAAAGACCAAATCATTTGTTTGCTTCGAAGAAAAAGCAAAAACAAGAACAAAAACACCAAATCATTTGAAATCACTACTCATTAAAAAAAATCACCAGTGGAACCAAACAGTTGAGTGGTTCGTGATGTGTTCGCCATTTCTGTGTTTGACCTACGTGGCCTCTAGTTCTTTGGACCATTGTAACTGTGAAACTATGGCTTAATACTGTTAAAGACCCCAAGGCTCAACTCTGTAGCCAGGGTGCACCTCAGGCTGCACAAATACCACACCAGAATGTCATAGGCATTCATGGCTCCACCTACTGAGTGAACAGAGTGCAAGACAGCACTGGCTTGGGTTTTATTTTTGTAGCCAGTTAACTTTGCATCAGGTCTACACAGTCCTTGCAGCCTTTGATTTCTCCTGTTGTAGAGATTTGAAATGGGGTGCCCGGGTTCCTCTCATCTTTCCTTCAATCTACCTAGCATGCATTTTACACACATTGGAGGAGTCGTATGCACTGTTTTTTTCTCTGTTGCTGACGGAGGCAAGAAGGCCTTCTAATTAGTCTAACTTAAAGGAATGGGATTCACTTAACAAAAGCAAGAAGAAAAGCACATGAGCAGGTGTCTTAATGCATTTCGATAGTTTCTTGGGGCGGGGTGTGTGTCTTGGTGAAGGTGGGGGGGCTGTATTTTCACCAAGCTTTTTCATAATCAAGTTTGCTTTGCAAACCTTATGGCCTTGCACCCCGCAGAAGAGTCCTTCCTAATAACAGGGGAATGCCCTGTCAGGTTCTCTGTAAATTATTGTGTGTTGGGAGGTTCTGTTGAGGCTTAGTTTGATCTTCCATGGTGGACACGTCTGTTCTGTATGTAAAAGGCATTACAATTGTGTTTTAGCGGATGGGATTTGAAGCCTTTCCACGGTCCTTATCCTGTGAGATGGCTGTTGAGCTCTGCTCAGCTGTTGTAGCTGAATTCTTGTTTTGCGCTGAACATTGGGCAGCCTCACGGTGTTGCCACCGTACTTCTGGGGCCCTGCGACTGCCGCCGGATGCCGCGCACACAGGCAGAGTGCCTTTGCAGGTTTGTGCACCCCTTGGCGAGCCAGAACTGGGAACCCCGCGGGGTGACCCCACCTTCTCATGGGGGGTCGGGGAGGGGAGTGCCTATTTTTAATCCCGTCTGTTTGTTGCACAATGGAAATCACTGTGATTTGTACATATGCCCTAGGAAAATTTTACTGCTGTCTAATTTATGTAATAATACTGTTGATTCCAGGTTTGTTTAATAAAACTTTCTATCTTTTCAGAAGTCTGAGTCTCGTCTGCTTCTGTCTCCAAACAAGCTGTGGCTTTTCTCCTTTAGTCTAATCCAGGGATGGGCAATTATCTGTAGGGGCCACATGGCAGATATTTTCCGCATTGCAGGACACACGGTCTCTGTTGCACAGAGTGCAAAAAAGCTGCTATAATTAGGCACGGAGGTGCACGCCTGTAATTCCAGTGCTTTGGGAGGCCAAGGCAGGAGGATCGCTTGAGCCCAGGAGTTTGAGACCAGCTTGGGCAACGTAGCAAGACCCCATCTCTACAAAAATTAGAAAATTTGTCAGGAGTGGTAGCATGAGCCTGAGATTGCTCAGGAGGCTGAGGTGGGAGGGTCACTTGAGCCCAGGGGTTTGAGCCTGCTTTGAGCTATAATTGTACCAATGCCCTCCAGCCTGGGTGACAGACAGAACAAGAACCTGACTCTTAAAAAAACAAAAAAAATCCCCATAGACAATATGTAAACAAGCGGGCATGGCTGTGCTCCAGTAGTTTTATTGACAAAAATAATCAGAGGGCTGGATTTAGCCCGAAGGCCAGCATTTGCTCATTCCTGTTGTAGCGTGCGATGTTGACTTTGCAGACTGGCCTCACAGGTTGTTAAAAATATGCTGCCCTCATCATCATGAATGAATAAAATATTTTGTTGCTTACTCTTATTACTCATATATTTGACACCCAGGTTTCTGAGTGACATTCGTAGCTTGCTAAAAACATCCTGCCTTTGTACACTGTAAAATCAATTGATTTGTAATTTTTGACACACACACAGCACTTGCTATCAGCAGAGGCTGAACTATTACACCTAGTTAAGGGTCAAACACAAGCCTGTTTACTTATGACCAAGCTGTCCCTGTTCCCATCTTGGAATTCCCTGGGGAAGGGAGTCTTCCCATGGGCTGGTATGGCTGTTCAGGGTCTGGTTCCGCATCTTCTGGGAGGGAGCACTCGGGAGTTTCTGTAGCACAGGCTCTTGGTGAGTGCCAGTCTAATTTGGAAAGGATATGTGTGTGTGTGTTTGTTGGAAGGCTGGGGGAGGAGTCCTGAAGCCCCCTCGGCACAACAAACATGCTTTGTACTTCGGGGTAAGATTGCTAGAGATTGTCCAGGGTTGTGTCAATTATGTGTCATAGATATGTATTAATATTCAGCCACACACTGTTGGAGCTCTCTGACTTTCCTAGAAGTCAGGCTCATCTTGTATACTTGTTGAAAGGATCAGATAACCTTCTTCCGAGGGTGTGAAGGAAAATCATAGTTAGGTGGACCCCTGTCATTTTAACAAGAGGCTGTCTCGGGTATTGCTTGCAGAGACAGACAGGAATTGCGGGAGTGTTTTGTTTTGTTTTGCGACAGAGTCTCCCTCGGTTGCCCAGGCTGGAGTACCCTGGTGCAATCGCAGCTCACTGCAGCCTCGAACTC